ACGATAAGCACTCAACCACTTCCAAGAATATTTTAATGAAAGTCTGAAGTTGACAATTTTACCTTTTAGCTAATTACCTTTTATGCAAAGTGAATGCTAAGGTTGCTCCTCCTCCATACTATAATTTATGATGCTAACTCTTACTTGTATAGAACAGGTAAATATTCGTTCTTGAAGTATTGCACTATTCTCAATTATCCTACTAACCATCTTCACCATGGTTTAAGTGATACATTGGGTGCTTGTAGAGTCAAAAACATATTTTTGAGAACCATTTTGATAACTACTCATTTTTTAATGGCTCTTTTACCTGTGTCCAAGTCATTTAATTTTTCTGAAAGCTGGTCCCAACCATACATTATTAAGAAGACTGGTAAAAGAATACAAAACAGAATTCCTTGAAGACTGAATGTATTAAATGTGGGTTACCTTTTAATTATAAAACAGCAATTAGATTGGTTTATCACTGTTTATTGTTACAGAAGCACATCCTTAGTCTGAGTAAAATCAGTAAACATAACCTCTGAAGAGAGAGAGGGTGAAATTAGATAACTGCACTCTGAAATCATCAAATAAATACCTACGCTCACATTTTTTTCATGTTGCAAAAAAGAAATAAAAGGAAAACAGAACAGAAGGTTACATGTCCAAGAAGGCAGGCATGTACAAAAAATCACTATGCATAGCAATTACGCACATCAACTGAAGACAATGTCAAAAGAAATTATTGCAAAATAAATTTTAAAATCTAGTAACATGTTTTGTCAGAAAGTGACAAAAGGCACACTCTAATAACTCTGAGAATATAAACATCTCCAGACTTACTTGCTACTATCTACATCAACAGAGTGACTGCTCTTAACAATGAGCAATCTTTAAACCAGTTCACAGCACTGAACTGTCACATTGAGAAAACATTAGCAGAGCTTGTAGTTTTCTTTACAGTTTTGACATATTCCAATTCTATCAGTTGCAAGAAACTGCATATAACACATCATATAATGGCCTATCAAAAGAAAATATTGTCAAATAGAATTTATCCATAAAAAATACTTCAAATCAGCTATAATGAAACAACAACGATTCCTCTCAATAATTCAATCCACAGAAAATAAGATTACTCTAAATGCCTGTTATAAAACAACATGAAGAATGAAAAAAATATATATAATTGACTCCTTTAGATATTTTCATCTATGAAACACTTTTCTAACTACAAGCTATTACTTGCATTGCCACAAATTTTTCAAACACATGAAACAATCCATATTGTTCTGGAGTTCCCGAAGTACATTACAGTATTTTTGCACTAATATTCTCCAGTAAATTCTCTTCAAGTATCTCAAAATGTTCTTGAAGGTCTCCGGTTAGATTCTGAGGCAGAGCTCGTAGGCTTCTCTTCTTTAGGTGGTGAACCCCCATCTTTGTTTGACTGCGAGGCTGGAGGATCCTGGAGAGAGAGAGATGGGAAAAAGGTCTTTTGGTTGCTTAGAAAAAAAAAGGTAAGAGGGTCTAAAAAATACTCATAAAATAATTACAAACACTTGCAGCAATAAATAAAATAAACAATTTATTTGTGTATCTAAATCTATGTTAAGAAGCCTAACCTGCACAAATTTATCCAATTCAGCACTGTTACAATCATATGTACAATAAAACTGCTATACAATGAGACAAGAAATATTAGAGATCAGTGCAACATAACTCATCATCATTATTGCCACATTGCTATACAATCTGAACTGCTTATTGGCTCTCAGGTTATTCCTACAAACATAATTACAACTGGCCCACTAAACCCACAGCACCATGCTAAACGACATGTTGGGGTATGCATGGAGTCAGCCTGCTCTATGCTCTTGGCTGTAGCAGAAACTATTGTTTATGTAATGAAGCAACCAAGAAGCTTTAATACTCCTTTTAAGGGCCTCAGACACAGCAGCTAAGCAAGCACACAAAGGCTTAGCTCACTCAAGTGAGGGGTAGTCTACGATGACATGATAGGACCTAACTTATGGGTTAACTAGAAAGCTACATTATACATTCATTCTGAGCAAGACAGTTGCTAATATCTTTCCCCCTTCTATACCAGGCTATTATTTATATGCACAGGAGCACATACTCTCTCTGGAGAAACAATCTGTTGAAACAGATAATCACTTGGACCTTGACAATGGGATTCAAAGTTGTCCATTTTTCCTGTTAATTTTCCCTGTTCAGAATATAAGTTATAAAAAAAAAAAAAATCTAGTGACTACCGAAAACTGAATCAACAGGGAGTTTCTATTCTTAAATAAGGCAAGAGCAGCCAATGATTCTCTAAAAATGATGGCTCTAATGAAATCTTTCCAAATAACTTAAACTACCTGCATTTACAAGTATGTTAATTTTGAATTTGTCATATACTGATTTCCCATTCTAACACTCACCTGGAACAATGAATAAGCATCAATCTTGGGTCAATAATACAGGCTGTGCAGGTAGGAGCTCATCTATGTGAGACTTACTACATAATAGTAACATAACAGTAAGCATTTTAACCAGCATATACATAGCAGACTAAAAACTATCCACTATACAAAATCATGTAATAAAATTTGTAAAAACATTCCTTATTGCCAAATCCTAATTTACCAAAGTTAACTGCAACTCGTAATAAACAAAATTAACACAGAAATTTGTATATAATATGTTATTGAAAATAATCTAGTGTAATATGCATGGTCAGCTAACAGCTCACTTCAAAAAAAGTATTTCTATGCTACAGCAACATAACTCGCAAAAAGTAATAACCATCTTCAAATAACCCTTAAAATAAACAAAACAAAAAAACATACCTTTTCCTTATCAGCTTCTTTTGGGTCTCTGAGCAGTTTCTGAGCTGGCTTTCTAATAACACGTGGCTTCAGTGCTAGGCGATTAACATGGCTTACATTCTTGGGTTTCTTGATGACCCTGCGAATTGTAGCTGTGCTTCCAGGCTTGCTATTGCCGGTTTCTCCCTCATCACCTTCATCATTGTTCTCACCATCTGCCCGATTACTACTACTGTCCTTGTTAGATCTATTGGTTGTTTTGCTCCCTCCAGGTGCACTGCGTGGGCCTCTTTTTGCCGTCAATCTTCTATATTCTATTGGGGAAAAAAAAGTCAAGAGAAACAAAGGTGAGGAAAGGGACTTTCAACTGCATAAACCTCATTAAAATGAAGCAATTACTGTTTCTGTTCAAGAGATCTGGAGCAATGATTATGAAAATCAGGTTTGAGAACTGCAGAGATTATCAACTGAGTTTGTGCAACCAGAACTTTGGCGCATGGTGAAGAATATTCAGGCTGTTTTAAAAGAAATATGCATTCATTCTATTGTACCTAATATTCTGACTGAATTTTTTGTTATGCTGTTCCTAGGACAAGAAGAGTATATGCTGCAATCCCTAGTGTGATCTTTGCAAGTCGAGTCATAGGAGTGCTACCTAACCACACAAAAAACAGCCCACTGGTTGACAACAGCACTTCATGTTACTGAGAAACACATGGATGAGAATCCTGCACGGGTGTATATCTGATTAGAAAAACTGAACTGATACGAAAGGAATATTGCTTGACTAGAGGTATCAGTTCACCACACACCTAGGCAATCAAAAATGTGGTCAGCTTCCTTGGCTTATAAGCCTGGGATCAATGCTAGTCCTATCTCCAACCAGCCAAGCCATGAAACAGGAATGCATGGCAGCTAACGTCTCCTGCAAGATAAGGCTCTACCCTATTCTCAGAGTTAATAATGAACTCTTGAACTACAGCACACTTTGCATATGAAAGCATCCATCAGTGCTACACTGCCTATAAGACTCTCAATGATTTGCTACGACAGACCACTACACTTTCGTAAACCTTGCAATCATAAGGGAGTTCCAATTACTGCTAACAAGAATGGAGTTGATCTCTGTGGCTGCATTCCCTGCATCCCTATCAAGTCCAGTGATGCAAGTTGAAATGCTGACACCAGAATGTAACCCTTTATTTCTAGGACCCCACAAAGTCTCTAGAAACTCGAGCGGAATTTTTTTTTTCTTTTTGGTTCTTAGATGTGACCTGGTTATACAAAGTCAAATCAATTATTATACTCAATTAGGTTATCACAAACAGGTGCTATAACCTTAGCAAGAGACCACAAGGGATAAGTAAATAAAATTTCTAAGTTGAAAAATATTTACCATTATCTAAGGGGGGGGGGGGAGAGAAGCACTGAAAAATATAACAAATGAACAGATAAATCAGTAAATAAATAATCACACGAACTTACTCTTTAGAATCCTATTTTTCTTTATGGGCAAGGGTCGCCTTCTGGCCTTTCCTCCCCCCAGTCGTTTCTTAGGATCACCTAGCCTTGACCTCTTCACCACTGATGACCTTTCACTTGATCTTGCAGGTCGCTTGGCCAGGAGGCGTGACCTACTTGGGGACAGTGGCCGTTTACTTCCCTCTGACTTCCGAGATTCAATCCAGAGCCTGAGATCATCAGGTCGTCTGAAACAGAAGCTCTAAATTAGATATGTGTAGAGCAGTCGCATATAATTCATATATCTATATCTATCAATATCTATATCTATCTGCATCTTTTTATATCTATCTATATCTATTTATCTATTTACATGTATGTCTGTTATCTTTCTATATACATGTCTATTCATCTATCTATATCTCTATTATCTATCTATATCATGCCTATTATCTATCTATATCCTATTATCTATCTTATCTCTATATATCTATGTATCTACTATTTATCTATAAAATTTGTCAAAAGCCAAACTGTAATTACCTGCTTCTCTTTTTATCTCTTGGGGAAGTTGCTCTTCGTGAAACTCTAGCCCTTAAAACTGGGCTCCTCCTTGTGCTAGCAGGGGACGGCCCAAGCCTATCTTCTATTCGTCTACTTCGGTCACGTTCTCTGCTGCTTTCTCGTCTTCTGTCCTTTGACAGTTCCTGGCGAGCACTGCGACTTGGAGGAGTGCGTGACCGTCTATCACTGCGACCTCTGTCTTTCTCTTGATTTTGACTACTTCCTGAGTGATTGTTATCCTTTGTCCAACTCCTAACATCGCTGCTGCTTCTACAGTCGGAGTTCCTTTCCACAGCTCTCCCTCGCTTCACAGAATCCGAGTCATGGGTTCTCTCTCTTGAGCTAACCCTTCTTTCTGGTTCTTTTCTCCTCTCTCTTTCGCCTGCTCTGCTTCTTTCACTTCCTCTTCTATCAGACAATGGTCTGCTCTCTCTAACGGGACTTCTCGCTGTACTTGAAATTCTTCCTTTACTCTCATATCTGGGAAGGGGGGGAATATATGATTAAATGAAACAAGTGAGTGAGAGAAAAAGAAAATCCCTCAACAAAAATTTATTACAGATAGCATTACTTATGAATAATCACCTGTCATCAATACAAGAAGAGTACAGTACAAGGCACCTGTCTTTTGAGCGGTCATAGCTTCTTTCTCTGCTCCTACAATGTGTGGAAAGATAAGGACTATGGGTGAGGGTGGTCTCCTTGCAGGCGGTGATGGCGGCCGTCGCGGAGGGGTTGTGCTGGGAAGTGGCGACAGGGATCGGTAGCGGCTCTGGCCTGTTGACGGCAATGGAGGGCTCCGTCTTCCACCTGACCAATACCCTAAGCATAGTGGATTAGTTAGAAAAGGTATTTATGTATAATCAACAATAATGGACATAATGAAGAGGTGAACTAAGGTCCACCAAAGGAAGCAAAGTACACATTTTCTTTAAATTCCAATTCTGAATCCTTTTTAGTTATATTGATCTACGCTTTGGCACTTCCACACCGAAAGCTTTCTTATAATTCCTTTACCAGAATCTGCATCCAGTTCCTACTTTGAGAGGATTAAACTAACCAATCCTTTGATAATATTAACCAAGAGCAAATCCAAATTATAATCCTCCATACAGTCTAGTCTTGCTTCAAATGTAGGCCAACAGAATTTGTTTTCTGGCATACTTAAATTCAAATACAACTCCTAACTACACTGCTGATACTGTGATCAGAATTCCTTTCCAAGCTCTTCCTTGCTTCACAGAATCAACCACAGATTCTCTCTCTCAGAAAAATTGGACAAATCTTCCATACGCCTGCTACTCACTTCGAGGGCTAGTTGTTGAGTATCTTGAGTACTCTCTTGATGAAACGGGCTGCGGGGATGGGGGTGTGGGTGGTCGACCGTGAGGAGACACTTGACCTAGGTTTCGAGGGTACTGACCTGGGGGACCATACACCACACTATCCCCAATAACATACCTAGAAAATCAGTATCATTTTAGAATGTTTTCTAACATGTTTGGGTATCTATCTACATCTACAGCAAGAGAATGTGAAAGCTTGCTTATCTCACTTATAAGTTGCTTTTCATATTTTATATGCTTCTTAATATGTTACCACAATCTTTCAAGGAAAACACCTTTCTGGATAGTATTGAAATCTACTTTTAAAGCTAAACTGCAAACACTTTATTTAATCTTCTCATTTCTATTTCAGAATATTAAAATAAAATAACCTCTGTTGTACTGAACTTACCTATCGAGATACTGTCTATCTGGAGACCTTGGTGGTGGAGAGTACCTGTCGTAACCATCATAGCTTCCTCCGACACCACCACTGAGAGGTGACCTGCAATACATTTTCCCAATATTTATGGTTATTACAAAAAAGTTCTAATCTACTCAAAGTCACTGCTAATGACTCCTCATAAAATTTGAAGAAATTCTTGCATACTTCTATATACTACAATTACAATAACTGCAAATGCTATATAATTTGACAATTTATAGTTTTTTTTTCTTTTTTATCAATTGACTTTATAGACACTGACTACAGCCAAGAATTCTATTCTGATCCCACTAGATATGGGGTTAATCGCAAACAAGTAAACCTTTTCAAAGTTATCATATATAAAATCTCTAGAAAGTTCATGTTTCCTTTCAGTACTTAGCTTCTCCTAACCTTAAGGTCCTAATGGGGCTGTAGTCTCGATACAGCTGCCGATCCTCTTCTGGATAGAGTCTGCTTCTTGTTCCTCCACCTATTTTATGGTCATAGGACAGGCTGCTCCCGCCAGCAGCCTTGTCACTTGCGTAACTCCCACCACCTCTGTGCTTGTCCCCACCATAACTACTGTCACCTCTGCTGTGCTTGTCCCCTCCGTATCCGATGCCCAGTTTGTCCGTCCCGTAGCTTGTTAGGCTTCCTCTTCCTCCATACTTATCCCCACTGTAACTTCCAGCACCCAAAGACTTCTCTGCACCATAACCACCAGCTCTGTGCCTATCACCCCCATAGCTGTCATATGAGTTATAATTGTCATATGAACTCCCCGACCCACCATAGTACGCATCACTCTCATGCTTGGGATATCTACTTGTTTTCTCCGGATAGCTATCATAATCATTTGTGAATTTGCTACTTCTACATTTGCTACTATACTGCTGACTACTGGTTTCTATTCGACACTTTTCTGGGTAACGTCCTTTTTCTGAATATCTCTGGGTGTATAGAGATTTCTCTCCATATCTTTCACTAGAGTAACTTACATCTCTAGATTTGTAAATATCACCATATATGTCATTTTTGCTAATTAGCTTATTTGGCACCTTATCATTAATCTTTCTCACGTCATTTCCTTTATATTTGTCATCCGAGTAAGGCTTGGGCTGGTAAGATGTCTTATACTCTTTATCGTATTTATCGTAAGTATCATCGTAACTCTTGGGCTTGGAGGAGGAGGAGGACGTGGAGGCTGAGGCTGAGGGGCCACGGACAGAGGCCTTACGGGGTCCTGGGGGAGCACCAGGAGGCGTACAGGGCCGGCTGTATCTTTCAGACATCCTGGAGTGGAGGCTTACCTAAGTGGCTGAAAGAGATAACTGTTATAGATCGAAGAATATCTGTAATTCCTTCTTGAAACTCCCTGAAACAATTCCCAAACTCCATTCAACCAAGAGAAGGGAAGAAAATATGAAGAACATTCATGAAAAGGGGCAAATCTGATTCAAAGTGGCACACAGGAGGTCAAGGAAAGTGTAATCATACATTGTAGAAATGCTGAGAAGAGTCAAAAGGCACATCAGTAACAAAAAAATCAGGAGAAGTGGGAGACATTGCAGAGATGCTACAAAGAGACAAAAGAAGGCACATCAATAATAATGCAAGTTTAGAAGGAGTCATACTATACTACAAACAGATCTAAGTATGATGAGAGATTAACAAGAACACAATCATGTTTAGAAGTTATGTAATGGAAATTTTCAAAGGTAAATACCACTTCAATCATTGTAAGGCACTTGGCCACATTCTATGCATTGGTTTCCATAATGCATTACCATTTTATAAGGGATTACTGAGATTAACTTTAAAAGCCGTCTTACCATCAACTACATAATATTCACAATTATTTCCCCAGCAAATCCACTATCAATCCTTTCTGACCTTAGTCGACGAGCAGGAGGAAGAACCCTTCTCGATTATGTGAATCGTGAGAAAATTACCTCTTTATGAATCAACCTATAGTGTATAAACAATTGAAAATGGGGGGGGGGGGACTACAACAACAACAATGAAAACCAGATGAACCAAAAACAAAGAATGGCCTGTGGAATGAAAGCACACTTTTCTCAGCAAAGGACAAATGGCTTCATTACTGTCCTTTAATTTTTTCGGGAACTTATCCAAAGCCTCATATCTCGGCAAGACCATGAAACAGATGACTTCCATAATATAAAAAGAAGACTTGCCTACAAACACTGGAAGTAACAAGCCATGCATTAGGTAAATTAAGCTTTAGGAGAAATCTGCAAAACAGAATACTAGGGGAGAGTGAGAAAGCTACTGTTGCAGTTCATGGACATTATATATATATATATATTATATATATATATATAAATTCAGCTAACAAGCAAAGAAAGAAAGAAGGGAATAGAGGAAGAATGGAGGGAGAGGGAGGAGGGAGAGGGAGAGGAGAGAGGGGAGAGAGGGAGAGGGAGAGGAGGGAGAGAGAGAGAGGGAGAGAGAGAGGAGAGAGAGAGAGAGAGAGAGAGAGAGAGAGAGAGAGAGAGAGAGAGAGAGAGAGAGAGAGAGAGGGAGAGAGAGGAGAGAGAGGAGAGAGGAGAGGGAGAGGGAGAGGAGAGGAGAGAGGAGAGAGAGGGAGAGAGGAGAGAGAGGAGAGAGAGAGAGGGAGAGAGAGGGAGAGAGAGAGAATGTAATTACTTTGGAATAAAAAAGCATCAGGGGAAGAAATTAAAAAGAGTTGAGAACAAAGTCATACCCAATAAAGACAATGCGTGGCTATAAACAAAACATACCTAAACACAAGAAAATATAGAACAAGACTCATTAAGAGATGAGAACATTTGTAACTTTTACATATGTACACTTACTTTTGTTCCATGTATAAGGTTATTTCAAGGATCCTGCATACTTCTAACAAAAACCATATTCCATGCTGATACTCAAAAAAATATTTTACAGCAGATAAGGCACTTTGCCAGCATAACCTTTTAAAAATAACTAATTTTCTATTCACATTTCTATATCTGTTAGTGGCATCTGTCAATCACTATATTATAAATTTTATAATGCAAACAATAAAGCCATCACATGCACATACTGTCAGTAATATTTGTTGATTTTCTATCCTTTACAGAGAGAGGTCATGAGTGTTGAATACTTTATAAGGCACGACATGTCTCTCACGTTTCAATCTTCAGAAATGCAGAGACTAATTGAAATGTGTCAACCTTCTAAACCTGTCTGGTTGATGACCAATATCATTCGTAACATCTAAGCATTTAGTAAGTGGATGTTGGTCCACTTATGCCATCACAATTGCAAGTTGTCAATGGAGCAGTAATTGTTTACTATATCAAATAGAATTTACATATATAATCTAATCTAACATTAAACATAGTGATAATAAGAAGATACCTCTAACCATTATTAATATATGTAAATGATCCTTTCCATCTACTCAAAGTAGAAAACTGGAGAATTAATTTTGTTACATTTAATGTCTTACTGCTCCTTTTGCTTTTGTGGATAAAACATTCTAACCCAATCCTTAAATGCATTTTTAGCAAAGCTGAACTATTCCTAAGTTTCAAAGTAAACAAGAACAAATCAAATAATTGATCTCCCTGTCTACCTATATCTATAAAAATGTAATACCCTCCACTAACAAAATGGTATGCTGCAATGCCTGCAAAATAATCATACTTAACACCAGGTACCTATAGAATCTTGCTCTACATTTTACATAAAAGCCTTAATTTTTGTTTCATTTATCAAAAGAATTAGGGTTGGTTTTGCATTATATGCCCCACATATAATCTTGTTTACTCAGCATGGTTCAAAAGATTTTGAGTTATAAACTTAGTTAGCTAATTAACCAATATGAAAAACATTTGCATGCTTACCTCAGTTTGGCAGAATCTTTAGAATATTAATGCTGACCACGAAGAAGCAATCTCCTGCCCAAGTTGGAGACTGATTCCTTTACATCCTGAAAGTGTGTGGCAGAGCTCAGGTCTTGACACACATTAGTGAGGGAGCAGAGCTCATGCCACTCTGAAAGGAACAGGTGTTGCATCAGAACTGGGCCAGTTGGGAATGCAGTCTGGTTGGAGGGTGACGGTCTGTCTTGGATTCAAGCTTCAGAAATCTGGGATCTCTCTCAATGCAACACTGCCTCAGGGGGTCAGGCTGGGCTGGATGGTGTGCTGCCGAAGAGGAGCCCGGATACCCCCGGCTCACAGACCCAGACACCTGAGGCACTTATCCTTTTGTAGCACCTGTTAAGGGCATCAGAAAGTGCACTGAACTTTACCAGCTGGCGTCAGATGCTGGGAGCAGTTGCAGGTAGGGCAACATATCACTAAGTGTGGACCAAATTAGCAATCACCACTCACCATCACTTCACACATCACACTAAAGAGGAATACAAAATACACACTTTCTTTCGAATGAATGGCATTTTACTTTCATATAATATACCAAAAATCACTCCACCGAACTTTCCTCTTCTTAGCAGACGAATATAAAAACACAAAATATATAATACAATAACACTGAACATTGCTTGCTGTGCACCTGCCACCAACAGATTTCCTGCTGTGAGACTCAGGAAGAGAACAGAGGTCAACTAAATAAACAGAACAACTACAAGGAGAGATAAAATAGAAAAAGCTGAAAATAGGGTTAACAAAATTACTCTTCACAAAACACTCAACAAACCTTTTTTTTTTATTTAATTATCAAAGTAAAAAAAGAGCTCTTAAATTTGGCTCACAAAATGGAGCAAGGGGAAAAAGTCAAAGCAAAATCTGGCCTCTAACAATACAATTGAAAAAAATATATAATCAAAATAACAATAATAATAATAATAATAAAAAAAACTTGTCAGGGGATCTTCATACCTCTCCTACCTTCAGCCTAGCTCTACAATATAATAATTCAAAAAATAAAACTGTATAGAAAAAAAATAAACTAATAAAACTATCAAGTATCCTTGTACGTGCTATTCTCCAATCTGTTCTAAATATGTGGTAGCAAAGTGTCAATCCTGCCTGAGCGAGGGTTTCAAATGTAGTCTTATTCATCCTATGGTTCAAATGGTACATCCCCTAACACCCCCCCTAATCTTAACTATCAATCAAACAGACCTTACATGGTCTGTTGAACCGATCTCATTGCTTTCCTTGTCTTTTTTTTCCAGAAAACATGTAAATTAATCTTTTACATAAGAAAATCTAAACCTTTTTTGTTTTGTTTTTTGTTTTTCTTACTGCCCCATGCCTAATTACCGTACTTTAATTGTTTGTAAGGCTCTCTACCAACAGGCCAAATTCCTAAAATGCTAATTTTGCACCAAACTAATGTTCAATATCTGTCAAGTGTTGAACTGTAGCCCTCCACAATTCAAACACAAACACACACACACACAATAAATGTGTAATGTAATGACATGTTTTCATGTTTAAGTTCACAGTGGCAAGATTAGATCTTTATGTTTCCTTTGAAAAAATGTAAATCATCACAGTGCAAATAATAATAATTTAATCTATGTAATGGATGTGTTTCCACATCTAAAATCTGCATCTAATATTCTGTAACATGAATAATCCTGACTCCAATTAGTGTTCCCTCATTATCTCATGTAAAGCTGATGGCTGCATCTGCATGGGATATCTCTTTTATATAGCAATATATAAGAGACAATCTTCCAAAATATTATATACATTGGCAGAAAATGGTGCTAAATGATAAAAGGAAAAAAATATAAAACCTCAATATAATTCTTACATCTATCAAATACAATAGTTTCACACAAATCCGAGGGAACATTTCTAAACTTGCCACTTTTGGGGGTGTTGTGAGCATGAATCTCATTATGAATTACTTCATTCACAGCATGCAAGTGCATGAGAGACAGAAACAAGATCAAGAAGAAAGGAGGGATAGAGGGGAGAAGAGGGAGGGAGAGAGAGGGTGAGGTGGAAGCGAAGGTGGAGTGGGGGGGGGGAGGTGGATGTGAAGGAGTGGGGGAGGTGGAGGTGAGGAAGGAGGGAGAGGGGAGGGGGAGAAGGAGGAAGGGAGGGGAGAAGGAGGGAGGAGAGGGGGAGAGAGGGGAGAGGAGAGGGAGAGGGAGAAGGGAGAGGAGAGGAGAGAAGAGGGAGAGGGAGAGGGGGAGGAGGGAGGGGAAAGGGGAGAAGGAGGAGAGAGGGAGAGGGAGGAGGAGGAGAGGGAGGGGGGGAGGAGGAGGGGAGAGGAGAGAGGGAGAGGGAGGGAGAGGGGAGAAGGAGGGAGAGGGAGAGGGGGAGCGAGGAGAGGGGGAAGAGGAAGGGGAGGGGGAGGGAGAAGGGGGAGAGGGAGAGGAAGGCGAGGGAGAGAAGGGGAGGTGAGGGAGGGGAGGGGAGGGGAGAAGGAGAGAGAGAGGGGAGGGGGAGGAGGGGAGGAGGGAGGGGGAGGAGGGAGAGGGAGGGGGAGAAGGAGAGGAGGGGAAGGGGTGGGAGAGGGGGGAGGGAGAGAGAGGGAGGGAATAGGAAACTCAAGGATCAAGCAAGTCCAAAAGTGTGCAGACAACTAGGTGTGTAGTGATGTAATGTGACATGGTTGTAAAATGTTGTACAGTGCTAAATCCTATCATCTGGATGATGTTATGGTCTTGCCATGAAAAATCTGGATCAAGGGCCTGGTGACGCAAACATGCTGTCATCGGGCAAAATGGCCGTGGGCTGGGTGACATGAACTTGCCATCATGAGCGAAGGCCAGGGTGATGGAAAAGACTCGCCACGAGTGCACAAACCTCTTGGAGTGTGCACTCAAAAAAGGCTAAAAAAGTTTACACAAAATAACTTTGCAAAGAAGACGCACAGTCTTGTCACCACTCATGGGTATTTGTGAGCGCCCGGCCTGTTGGCTACTTACATAACCCACTGCCCGTATTTTTGGTACCATGATTTCCATGATGCAACCAGATCCAACTGGTTAATACCAGTGTATTTATAAAACACACATGCATGTGCATGTATAAAGAGGTATAGTTGTATATTTTTGCAATTGCGTTAATAGGGGCATATAGGTAATGTAGTCTATACTTATGAACTACATCTTAGTTTTATCATCTGGCATGTAATTCAAACAATTCAATGCCCCAGATCTTAAAAACTGTCCATATATACATATATACACTAATTCTGTGTGTGAGCGTGTGTGCGTGTGAGTGTGAGTGTGAGTGTGTGTGTATCAAAGACATATTGAAGTTCAACCTTTTAAATTCTTGAACCATAATAATCTAATTACATGTCCCCTGAACTGATGGCCTTATTCCTTACTACAAAAAAATAATTTACTACATAATGGTTCATAAGAAAGTAAGGGTGCAGCATCAAAAAGAAATACTACTAAATAAACAAACTAAAAATTAACAGCCAAATAATAACTCAGAATAAAATCAATAACTTATTTTCAAAATAGAAGAAGAAACGTGAAAAAAAAAAGAAGCAGACAAAGATTATTCGAGTCTAGCGACAAAGATGATGGACGGCCTGTTGGAGAGGTCACCGCTTCTAATTATCACTGACGATAAATCCTGACAGTGCTCTACACAGCTAAACATGCCTACAACACTCACTTTCTGGTTTTCTGGATCCCAAAGGTTACAACTCTTTGGGCAGATCATTTTTTTTTCTACAACGTGAGCAATTCAGACCAACTGCAAAAGCAGGCGTGGCAAATTAATATATTTTACAGGCTTTGGCAAAGAAACTTGGATCACAGCAGATGAATAATCACTTACACCTGAAGCTCAGATGGGGTACCTCTTGCAGTTGTTGACGAGAGCCACCGCTCAGTACTGCCTAAAATCGCATTGCATCCGAGATGATCAGCGGCAACATGTTTCTTGAGTGCAAGCCAAATCAGGTACATCCTACATGTCTTCCAGCTTTCTCCACCCTCTTTATCATAACCATGGAACAATGAAGCACTATACAGTTATTGTTACTGTATCATGCTGGGTTTCAACTTTCCAAAGGTATTTCTAGATCTTGCTCAATCTAAAATACCTTTTTTTAGAATTCCTGAGCATTTCTTCCCCGCCACAACAGGAAAAACATGTGAAGTGGCAGTAGATGTGACAATGCTTAGCTACTTCCCATACCATAACACAGGCCAGGTTTTCTTAGAGCCACAAGTGGTATGAAAAGCATCAGAATTCAGTAGAAAGTTTTAATTCATTCACTATTACCATGGTCTTCATGAACATTTCATCTAAGTGCAGTACCAAACTTCAGTCATTTGGCATCCTGGAAGCATGTAGGACAATGTGGACACCTGAGTGCAGGACTTGTGATGCATTAAACTTGGTCAGCAATGCTCAGGTGTTGTTGTCTTTATCTGCACGGGAAAGGGGCAATAGGACCTAACAGATCCAATGCCTCGTAGTACTTCACTGTGCAATGTTTGTTTTCTTTTGTCTATCTTGACTCTATAAACAATTGAATTCTTGATAAAAAGACAACTTTCATTAAGTCTTCACTTCGAAATTTTAATTAAAATCTGATCAGCTGAGACTAGTTAAGTTCACTCTTTCCTTGATGGTAGTTGTAGCTCCCGATACTTGAAGATTCTGATTACCTTCAGTCATCACAGCATGAAGACGAAGATGGTCACACCTGTAGGCTAATATGGTCTACCCAACATACAGGCCAGGCAGCCTGCCAAGTCTGAAGGCAGAGACAGTTGGGAGACCATACTGATGGTCCAGGACTGGAGAACAAGGTGATCTGTCAAGCCTGGAGGCCTAAGCAATCTGCTAAGCCTAGAGACCAAGGAGAAATGACAAGCTTGGAGTCCAAGATGATCTGCTAACCCTGGAGAACAATGATCTGCCACGCTGCACTGCCAAGCCTGGAGGCCAAGTGGATCTGCCAAGCCTAGGTGCTGAGGAAATGCACCATACTTGGGAGCAGCCGTCTCCTGGTGAACCAAGATGTGAAGCCATTGGCAGTAAGGGGAAGGTTGTGGTGTAGGATGCAGGTGGCTGGATCTCTCTCCCCATGTAGCCCTGAGATGCTGTGTTCCCTGAGAGAAGTTGGTGAGAAGAGGGCCGTGTTTGGGATGAGCTGGGAAGATAGTAGGCCATGTATCAGGTAACCCAAGTGAGCCCCAAGCCAGGCAACCACCCTAGGTTCCACCACCTCAGGTGTCCCTTCAGGCACACAGCTATGGGGGGTAACACTTGCCACACCACTGTGGGGCCAACCCTTCCCTGCCGTCCTTGACGGCTGACAGGCTTTGGGGGCACAGCCACATCATATAAGATGGGCAATTGGGCATGGCTGGCCACATGGCAACCTCCTGGGAATAGAATAGTTAATTAATCTTGTGAACATGCCTTTAATTCCAGACAAAATAAAGCCCTTTTCAGCCATGGTAAACGAAATGTCACCTTTTGAATATATATATACATATAATGAATACTATATATGCATATATATATATATTATATATATATGTAGAGATAATCAAATTTCATCAAAGAATATTATATACAAATAAAAGTAAACGCGCGACTTTTTCCCGATACAAAAATAAAATGTAATTGACAACAAAACAACTGAAGCACAGTCTTGCTAGCCTTCCATTCAACTACATTTATTCTCCATATCTAAGAGGACCATCTGTATATACATTTTTTTTTTTTTTTTTTTTTTTTTTTAATGCTCATTTCCATTGGAATATCATGATTCAGCAGTCATGTGACATCATATCATTACAGTTTTTATGCACTGATTGCCGCACTGTTTTTAAAAAATTAAAAAAATTCAAAAATTGCCTTATTATGGCATTACCGTCCTGTCAAAGAAAAATCTAGCTTGTGGGCTGGAGGCATCAGACAAACTGGTTGTGAGCTAGGTGACGTGAACTTGCCGTCATGAGCAAAGGCTAGGGTGACGTGATCTAGTTTGATGTGAAACTTGCCGTCATGTAGCAGGAGTTGTGCGTTATTATTTAATATATTTTTACCATGAGTGAGTTAACTGGGGTGACGGAATAAATGTATTTCTGGATGAACAACCAAACGGCAAGAGAACCCATATGTGCGTTGATAGCAGATAATATTTACTCCAATGATATTAGCCGTTTGAGAAGGGGGCTTGAGCAGTTTTCAATCGATAACGAATGTGTAGATGTCGGAACTGAAGATAGGCTTTGGCTGCTTTGATTTTTCTTTGTTCCCACTCGCGCTCTTCGCTCGCCTCTTCGCGCTCGTCTCCGCCGGGCATTCGCTCGCCTGCAGGCTTCAGAACTGCTCTTCGTGCAGGGTTTCCTCCACTCTGCTGTCTGCAGCACTGGTCTATTCCTCGGCGCCCTGCTAGTGACCGGGTGATGAGCTACAGAGGTTGTCATGTTATCGACATTGAGACGCGATCGGACACAAAGTACACAATACAGCAATAGGACCAAACCACTATCAAACACTAACGCTTCGCAGTATATTGATGTAGTCCTCAACAACAGTGCTGAGTCTGCGCAGATTCATAATACCGCAACAGAGAGATATATGAAGTAGATTGCACCGAGTCTGCTAGAAGGAACCAGATGACAGCTAGTAACCACGTCATGAGGCATCGATCTCCCGTAGATATGAGAGGCGGATATGAGCGAAGAGAGAAAAACCGCGCGCAGGAGATATGGGATAAAAAAGAAAGAGGAAATTAACATAGAGGGACGGAAGTTGGTAGAATGAGATATTTATTTTTTTTTTACTGTTTAAAGTTTATACAACCAAATAGAAGTATCTTATTGTCCACACAGAGTAGTAAGGAGAAACATTCTTAGTATCATGATCATCACTAACATCGGCAAGTAGTGTTTTGCCTAAACCGCCCGGATACTAAGATATGTATGGAGAACCTAATCTCAGCACGCACTTCATCCAGTA